ACAATAACAAAGTAAGTTTTCGTTTGATTCAAACAAATTAATACTCACAAATGCCTTTGTTATTTGAAACCTTTAACAAAGGGTGGCTTAAATTAATTTTGATTTATTACATTCGATACCTTTGAACTTTTATAATTGTAATCGACAAGAGTAAATATCTTACTGTAATTTGAAAGAAACAAACACAATATTGTTCAATCGAATAACACTAATGTAATAAATACTACACAAGTTTATTTAAAAAAAATCTTGCGGGAAAGGGGCAAAAACTACAAGATGACAACGTAAAGGTCGCTATGTGCAATTGAAAATTAGACAAATGTAAACAATAAAATAAAGTTTTTTTGCGGATGAAGCCGCACGGAAACAGCTCATGCTGTGTAAAGTTTAAACTGAAAATTGTCAGTTACCATTGCATTGATGTTGATGGTTCTATTCTCGAAGCCTGCAGACGGTCAGAGCTGTCCGTGCAGTCTGCTCGCCGGGCAGTCTCGCCGCTCTATTCTCGTCGCGAGTGCAACATCGCTTTGCACTTTGTATCTGAATTTTTAATCGAGTCAAATATGCCAAAAGCTAAGTCCGTAATTAACCTGGGCTTTGTTACCGTATACAAGTCTCTAGCGTACGCGGAAAGCGATAATATAGCTATAAACACTAAAATACTCTTACCTTTAATACAAGAAACTAGAAAAAGAGTACGTTTATATTGGTTCAAAAAGGATTATACTAGGAATCTAATCTTAAGCAATTTTAGTAGTTAATAGAGCGTGGAGTCGCCGCATATAAGGCTCTCCACTAATGTAAAAGATTGTTCAATATAAAGCGTGCGGGGACTTAGTTGATGAGCATAATGTGCTATATTAAAATGCATTAGAACTAATTAACTTTTTAAAACTTTCGTGAGACATTATACTATATGATTTATAACACGGCTAAAACTCACGTGGGAACTTTCGGTGAAGGCACCGACCAGTTTCAAATCCGAAGGGGGTCCTTCTTCAGGGTGAGTGGTTGCCGGCTTTATTCACTATCGCGTCACAACGGTCACTGCATTAGGGCTATCGCCAAACACGTGCAAGCCATAAGGACTAATGAAAACGGTTCTCTCTTGCGGGTGCTATACAGCATGCGAAAAGGAAATCTCTCGCACCACACTTTCTGTATAACGATCGAGAATTAATAAAAATTGGCCGAAATAATTCACTATACAAATCTTTCAAAACAATCGAAGGATAAATTATGAGATTATAAGAAGTAGGTACAATTTTCGTGTTAAGTTTATCCAAATTTGTGTCAGCCAAGGTGTTATTAATATAGTATTATAAGGGGTGACTTTAATATCAATTCCATGGTAGACATTATACCTTGAGCACGCCATTACGGCCCTCCGGAGAGTCGTAACCAGGTGTTTTCGGTCACGACATCCTTTTGAATTTAGATACTCTCATTAAATTTATGTTAACTTTGGTTATTGGTTATATTAAAACGGTTACTAAGTAACGGATAATCGGTAATCCGGAAATAAACGTTTTTGCTGTAATATTTAAACCATGGTAATCGTTTGTATTACTCCTTTAAGACAAGTACATTTTTGCTTAGTTTTTAATTACATTTGAATGTTGAAAAACAAAAACTAGATAAAAGTCCGTCATCAAAAGGCATATTATATTAAGCTGTAATTGATTACGTCATCATGTCAAAATCACATTTACATATGAAGATACCGTTAATTTAAAAAACATTTTAACACGCTTAAGGATACGTCATAAAAGTTAAAAAATTGTATTCACTCCACTCACTTATTTGGGACTACGCGCACGGTTGCTTCACATTAACTTAAATGTATGGTCTCATTTTGTCTCTCATATTTCAACGACGGGGAATTTCAAAATAAGTTTCAAACTTCACTGTTTTATTCATTTACTCGTATGTATCTTTGTGGTGAATTCCATTGTTTTCGTATTTCCATATATAATTTCTTAATTCAAACAAAGTTAAATGTTAATTTTTAAAATTTATTGACTATATACTTATGCAGATTTAAGTAAATAATGGTTTTGGTATTAGTAAAAAAAATAACCCTACGAATTCCGAACGAAGTCGAGAATTAGTCTAATTAAATAATAATTTGAAGCAATGTATTTCATAAATCCAGTGAAACTCCAAGCTGCATAGTCACAATGCATCTACTCTATATTGTAGTAACAAAGAAAAACTTTTTAATTGGAATGCATGTCGGATACGAGAGTGCGCACTTTACTTTGTCCCAATCTCCTACATGGTACACAGCCCGTCTCTGGGTTTACAACTTATGTCAACGATGTTTGCCTACTAAATTTTCAATACTTTTCAATAAGAACAGTGAAAGCAAAACAATTAAGAATCAACGTATATAAAGCGATACTCATGTTTAATGTGTATTATACTTCGAGAATCTTGAGAACGTTGTCTCGCGCAGATCGTTGTAAGTTCCTTTAATTGCGATTATGTTACACATGTTATTGTAAATAGAATAAGTCATATAAGTACGCAATATTCTTATATTGAACATAAATAATCTAGTCTAGAATATGTGAAATATTAAACACAATAGCAGCTCTCAGAAAGGATAGACACGACTTCTGCCGGCAGATGGCAGGGTATACATTATGCAGCCGGGCTCTCAACCAAATTAAATTTTCCTGTCAACTTGATGACAGTATTTTTTATTAATAATTCCCTTTCGTAATGTCGAAGTTGAACTCGCATTAGCAATGGTGTTGCCAAGTGTAATGAGTACTCGCATTTCGTAGCTAGTATTTTTTTTTAAATAAAACAAAGCAAAAGTCTGAAACATCTAGAATAAACATATTTATATGGCAGCTAGATCAGCTGTATATTTTAAATTCAAGAAAGTTTAATGCTTGTTCCCTATATCTAAGAATTTTTAAAATTAAAAATGGAAGCGTCATCTTACAAATAATGTCCAATCGTAAATAAATATACTATTATTAATAAAATAACGAGATAAGAATGGCCTTATACTCCTCCTGTAGTGTCGGCGCATAAACATCATAAAAACTTCGTATGTGTGAAAGATTATAATGTCCCAGTGTTAGGCAAAATTTAATTTATAAAATATTAACCAACACTATATCATCTTATGCGTGATTACCAAACAAAATCTTAGTAACTAACAAGGGTGTGTTAATATTAATTTTATAGTAACTATTCAAAGCATGATCGCAAAGTAAACGAGTACAATATATATTCGAGGTGAAAGAAATGCAAACACCGTCGGAGTGGAGCGGGGCACGGCGCGCCGTCACGTGAGCGCAGTAAACGTAACTCACGCGTTAACTATTCACGCGCCCCTGTTTTGTAAATGGCCGACTAAACACAAATTTATAAACTCCAATCTATGTAAGTTTTACAGCCTCTCGTAACATTCAAATACAGGATATACCTACCATGTTCATAGTAAACTATTCTTTTATATTATTAATAATAGAAACGGGATTAAAATTAGCCCTCCGTTACGCCTATGCTTCTAATCACTTTTTCCTAATGATATTAAGTCTTTTTTCTTAATATAAAATAATTTGTTGCAAGATGTTGAAATTTACCGAAGATTACTAAAAAGGGGAACTTACGATTTAACAATATGTATTTATTTAAACTGATATAAATAGAAATAAATAAGGCACCTCAACTTTGTAAACTTAGTCTCTTTTAGCCGTACCATTATAAAAGTTCACCGCAAATTCTTGTTATTTCAATTAAGATTTAGATAGGACACGTTTTGTATTACTTCGGCAAATTGCTAAAAATACACAGATTTTTTAATGAAAATTGTAAAATTATATCCCACAAAAAATATGAAATGTAAAAAACTGCCGAGTCTCGATTCCATTCAAAAATGTGTTAGATGTCATGAAATACCTAGTCATTTTAGTTAGTGTCTATTACGAAGCCTTGGCAATTGGCATACACGACGTCATCATTGTTAAAGAACACCACTCGCTTGAAAGTAGGTTAAAATTATGATTAACCACGCATAAAATTCAACTAGCATTAACTTGTGTTTAACAACATTTTTAAGCTGTCTGAACCACTATTAGCCAGTGGTGGGACGGGCCCTAAACCTTTCTGTAAGATTTCAATGATCTCAAAAATATCAAAAATCATAATTTAAATTCTAATTAAATACATTATAATATAACTGTTCTTACTTATCACTTCTTATTAAAACTCATTACTTTTTTACTCCAAACAAAGTAAAACAAGCTGATAGCACGAACGTATACAATTGTTAGCGAACGTGATCGTTGTGTTTTCAATTAACTTGTTTCCGCAAGTTTTTTCTTATACGGATAGAAAATACTGGCACTCAATAGCGGCCAAATCCAGACAACTCTCTTGATTACTTTCCAAAAAGGGCGAAATTGAATACAAACTTCTTTGA